CAGGGTCTCCCTGTAGCCCCAGCTGTCCTGGAACTCACTATGTAGACCAGGTTGGCCTTGAACTCACAGAGATCTGCCTGCCTCTGCCTCCTGAGTGCTGGGATTAAAGGCGTGCACCACCATGCCTGGCTATTATTTTTCTTTTATGTGTATGAGTGTATTGCCTGCATGTATGTGAGTGCACCCGGGTGGTGCAATGCCATGGAGGTCAGAAGAGGTTCGTAGCCACCATGTGGGTGCTGGGAATCGAACCCGGGTCCTCTGCAAGAGCAGTCAGTGCTCTTAACTGCTGAGCCATCTCTCCACCCCCCTCTCCTTTTTTTTTGAGACAGGGTCTTCCTGTAGCCCCAGCTGACCTGGAACTCACTATGTAGGCCAGGTAGGCCTTGAACTTAGAGAGATCTGCCTGCCTCTGCCTCCTGAGTGCTGGGATTAAAGGCATGTGCCACCATGCCCAGTGAGTGGCCCCCTTTTAAGGACAGGCACTACCAGACAGTTGAAGTAATCCCATGCTTGGGTCTCCTGACTGCCAAATGTTTGTTGTAAAGGGCACTACACAGACCAGGGTAGCTATGACCAGAAGTGAGTCATATGAAGGGGAGGAAGGAAGATCATGCGCACACTGACTGTCTTGGGCCACTTTTGTTCTGCAGCTGCTCTAGAGTTCCTGAAGGCCATAGCGTGATCCCCACTTGCAGGTCTGTGAACAGTTCCCACAGCCATCAGAATCACGGAAGACGGTGCTAATTCTCATCTGCAGTGTCCTTTGTGCACGGTCAGTGTTCTGCAAATCGTCACAAATCAGCCTGATGAAGTGGGTGCTACTGCTACCCTGAGTTTACAAACAAGGAAACAGAAGCACAGAGATCATGCACTGACCCATTTACACAGCCAATGAATTGAGAGCTGGGCTGGAAACCTGGCTGTCTGGCTTCTGGGCCTATCTGCAGTCACTATACTACAATGGAGAGGAGGGTTACAACAGAGGGGACAGTCAGTTGGACACTTAAGGAAGTTCTTCTGGGTGACATGGGGCTGGTCAGGTGATGAGCCCTGGGAAGAATGTTTCTGGTAAGAACAGCAAGTGCAAAGGCCCTGAGGTAGAACATGGCTGGGGAAGGAGCTCAGGAAGGGGATGGACAGCAGAGGGTGAGGGGCCTGAGGACAGGGACAGAGTAGGACTTGGGACCAAGTATGAGGGGACACCAGGCTATGTGCCTGCTATACACCCATCCTATCTTTGCCATGAGCAGGGTACCTAGCATGTAATAGATGTTTTTATTCTTCATGTGTTGGCACCAGCCTGTACCCAGACCTGGGGCTAAGTGTCACTGGAAGCTAAGACCTACTACTTTCATTTAAGGCCACAGGTGCTCAACATACCTTTGGAAGTCCCTCAGGAGAAGGCCTCATTAGGGAATACAAGTTCCCCAAACTGCTTCAGCTTCCCCTTCCTGCATTTAGAACTGTGGGGAGCATAGCTTGTTCCCATGGGCCCTTCTAACAAGAGAGGAGGTTAAGGCCCTATGATCTACTGGGTCATAGAGCAGATGAGCAGAAGCTTGGGACTCAGACCAGGTCTATGTAAGAGGGCCCCAGATTAGATGACAGAGCAGCCAGGTATAGTGATGCACACTAGCACTCAGGAGCAAAGGCAGGTGGATCTCTGTGAGTTTGAAGCCAGCCTAGTCTACATAGCAAGTTCCAGGTCAGCCAGGATTACATGGTGAGACCCTGTCTGAAATAATACATAAATAAGGCCACAGAGCAGTGAACATGGACATGTTTCCTATACTTACTACGTTTTGGTGGTGGGGATGGAACCTAGAACCTGCCACCTGCTAAGCAAATGCTCTATCATTGACCCACAGCCTCAGTCCTCATTTTTTTAGACATTGTCTTGTGTTGCCCAGGCTGATCCTGCATTTTCTATGTAGCCAATGATGACCTTAAACTCCTGATTCTTCTTGTCTCCACTTTTCAAGCACTGGGATTACAAGTGCATACTACCATGCCTATGGTACTGGTAGTGCCCGGGGCTGGATCCCAGTGCTTTGTGCATGCTAGGTAAGCACTGTACCAACTGAGCTAAATCCCCAGCTCCACTTTACACTCTAGGAGAGAGTCTCGCTCTGTAGCTCAGGCTGTTCTGGACACCATCCTCCTGCCTTAGTTTCTGTGCAGCCATGATAGTCCCTGTGTCACCAGGTCTGCTTCTGGCTCCATTTAACCATCTGGCCAGCTTGGTTTGGGCACAGGGTGAATGGCTGCAGCTGTCAGAGCACACCTATGGGTGTAAGGAACATTCCTAGGTGGGTTGGGTAAAGATACAGATACCTGCCAGGGCTGAGGTCAGGACTGGCAGGTGGCTGCAGCTCCAGGAAGGGAACACAAGGGTCACCCCATACTCTTATGTCCCTGCTTCCACATGTCACCATTGGCCCTTCCCCCAGGGCCTCTGCTTGTCTATGGCCACCCTCAGTCCCAGAACCAGCCACTCAGTTGTGGGCATCTTCATAATGATCAGAATCAGGCTTGCTGTGTGGTGCCAGCAGCAGGCCCCAGACCTTGCTGAGGAAGAAATTTCAGTAGAAACTTCAGGAGATTTGCTAAGCTGCCAGCATGTGGGGGCTCTTAAGAAGCCTGCCCAAGCAGCTCCCACTGGTCCACCAATCCAAATACAGCCCACAATACCCATCCAGGCTTGGCTGAGGGATATGACATTTGTGAATGAAATATAAGGGGGTGATGGTAACAACTCGCAGAGTCAGGTAGCCAACAGGAAATTGTCCGGGGCAGGTTGTGAGTGAAAATGACAGGGTGTGTGAGCTGAGGCTGGACCTGGTTGTGTGAAAACTGCCCACATCTCCATGCCTAACACGTGGGTTGCTGGAATGATCCTAAGGATTCGACTCACCAGAACCTTCCCTGGGGCTCCCATACTTTTCTGTGGGCATCACCCTCTCAAGACACAGAATAACAAACCAGGCCCACAAGACTTTGAGGAGTCCCATCCAGGGAGCTCCCAGCACAGCTCTGGTATCCTGCTTCTTGCCTGTCTTTCCGGAGCCTGGGGCCCCTTCCCGGCTTTATGCATAGGCCTTGGCCCCTCCCGGCCCAGACAGGGGTGCACTCTGTTTGTCAGGAGCTGGTCACAAGCACAAAGGGGCCCTTCTCCTCCAAGGCGTCCAGACTTGAATACCACTCAGCAGCCCGCTGAGGGCGGTCTGAAGAGCTTCAGGGAGTGCCCCCTCCCAGCCCGCCCATCTTTTGCAGCTCCTGCCACAGGGCTCCAGGCTCTCAAGTGCCATCCCCTAGAGGGCCACCAGAGGGCGCCCTTCACCATGACAGGAACTGGCAGGCAGGACCCGGTTCCCACACCCCAGGAGGGTGATGCTCTGGGTAGGGGGTTGTCTGCTGCACCCTCCCACTTTACCCAGCGCCTGGATGACAAGGCTTTGTTGCTTGTGGCCAGGCCAGGGTTATGCACCCTGCTCAGTGAGGTGTTTAGGGTGGGGGTGGGCGAGTGACCCCAGGGTGAACAAACCCAGTGGGTTTGGGGTTCAGGATAAGACCCACAGGTGCCCGGGGAGGAGCCAGCCCCACCCAACCTCCACGACCCTGCTGCACAAAACTTCCCAGATTCATTGGGCCTGATCAAGAACTTGGCCGGGCAGAGGCTCCATGGCGGGACTCTACCTCGGTGATTAGTCCTCCCTTGCCTCACCCCTGCCCCCCGCCAGCCCCCTTTGGGCTCTACTGTCACCAACCAAGAGCTGGGACACGATGTCCAAGTGTTTTTTGTAGCGGGGGAGCCAGGAAACCCCCAGTTATGACAGTCCAGGAGCAGGGGTGTGAGGCACTCCATTTCAAAGGTTACTTGGGGTAGGAGGAAGCCGCCCCCAGGGGACCTTTAAGCATCCGCAAGTGGGCAGAGGAGGAATGGGGCCACTGCCCTTCCTGATGCCTAGGGGTGGCAGTCAGCTTCTCACCCAGCTCCGGGGCAAGTCCTATCAAAAGGGGTTGCAAGCGCCCCCGCCCAAGTGTTCCCTGAAATCTCACGGCGTTTGCCCAGATCTGAGGGCTTAGGAGTCGCTCATACCAAAGGCCTGTGGAGAGGGGACTCTGCCAGGACCCATTAGGATATTGGCTAGCTTGTGCCGGGCAGGAGGCCACCCCTGGCCGGGTCCTCGGATCTCAACGATGAAGGGCGCCCAAGCAGGGGCCTGCCGGAAAGCGGGCTGGAACCTCGGTACACGCCTTCGCAGGCCCTCGTTGGCCGGCGGGGCCAAAGTCTGATCGAAACCTTGCGGGTCTCCAGCCGGCTTCCAGCCGACTTCGGTCAGGAGGGGAGAAAGGAGATGGGAAGAGGGCCGCATCGCGGCCCGAAGCAGCTAAGCTGGGGGCTTGGGAGCCGAGGTGTGGGGAACAGTGGTGGGCCTGGCATGGCAGGGGTCTCCACCTGCTCCGGCAGGGCAAGGCTGGCTGCTCTTGTGGAGGAAGGAGAGGGGGTCGCGCCAAGACGCATGCCGAGTGGCGGCAGCTCTCCCAATACCGTCAGCGGAGCAAACTCGGGAACCTTAGGCTTTTGGGGCGCTCACATGCGCGGTCCCAGCCCGGGATGCGCGCCCCTGCCTTCCCACTCCTGCGACGAAGCACGCGGGGCGTACCGCCCCGGGCATGGTGACGCCGGTCGCCCGGCCAGGGGTTCCTGGGGGGCGGCTCCAAGCTAGGGATCTCGCGGTAGCGGCGCAAGCCAAACGCAGAGAGCAGGGAAAGGACCGGAGCCCTCTTGGATTTGCAAGCGCGCGCTCCACTCTGCCTATGCTCTAGCCTCAGTTTCCCTGCCTTGGAAATGGGTCCGCCGCGCCGGGGGTTCGCACACCTAGCCGAGACGCTCAGGGGAGCGTCTCCCTTCTCCATTTTCCTGCGCTTCTCGTGGACGCCCGGGGACCCGGCTCTGGGACGCCCCAGGTCCCATGCCCGCGCCACACACTCACCACCCCCAGGTTGAGGTCCTCCGCGCGGGGCGCGGGTGCAGCGCAACCCGGGTGGGCCGCCAGCGCGAGCAGCAGCAGCAGCGGCGGTGGCGGCAGCCCGAGCTCCGGGCGCGGAGGGCCGGGCCCTCGGGGGGACCCGGGTCCCCGCGAGAGGCGCCCCATCCCGCTCTGCGAGCAGCGGCGGCGGTGGCGAGGGTCTCCGCGCTCGGCTACAGCCGGCTCCGCGGCCCCCTCTGCTCAGCGCCCGCTCGGCTCCCCGGGACTGAGCTGAGCGCCCGCCCGCCTCCGGGGCAGGACCATGCTAATGTATGCTAATAAGACAGCTCCGCCCACTTCCTTAAAGGGCCCGCGTCGTATGGGCCCACAAGTGCGCGGGACCGGGGATTCGCAGCCGAAGGTGTGCTTTCAAGGTCCGCGACCTCTTTAGGCCAGGAGCGCGCGGACTGGGCTGGGGTGTTCTGAGGACCCAGCGACCCTCGGGGAGCTAACCCTGGTTCCTGTCAGCGCTCCAGGTCCGGTTCCAGGTCACCCAAGGATCTGGAAGCTGCCGCAGCGCTCTACAGGAGCGCACGGGGGAGCCCGCAGGCCGCAGAGTCTTGGGGCGAGGAGAGTGAAAACCCGGGTGAGGAGGGACGGGGCGGGGTAGGGGGGGATATACATGTAAGGGTAGGGGATGGGAGGGGGTTAGGGTGGGACCAGAGATCGTAGGAGGGAGTGGGGGCATGGAGTGGTAAAAGGGAGTTGGGGCGTAGGGTGGGAGAGGCGAGACCGAGAGCCCGTGGGTCTCGCATGGAGCACCTTTTCCCTGGTGGGCCAGGAAGCATCTGGCATCTGGGATTGAAGGTCTCCGGCAGGTTTGACAAGGGAGAATTTGTATTTTGAGGCGCAGGGAATGGAACCCTAGGTTTCCTACGGGCTGAACCTGCGCTCTGCCCCTGAGCTAGGAATAGCTCACATTATTTGGGATCTGGCGCCTGCTCAGCACTTTGCACATGAAATTGCCTTTTTCACAACCCTTATAAATGGAAACTGTCATTCCTCATTTGCACACAAAGAAACTGAGGATCAAAGAAAGAAACTTGTGGTAGATGGCAGGGCCAGATGAACTCCTAAGCACTTGACAACATGGGGTGACTGGTTGGAAGATGTTTGAGTCAGAGGGCTTGAGTTCCAAGGCCAATGATTCTCCCCAGCTCTGTTTCTCACCACCTTGAGCAGCAGCTGCACCATCACAGTCCCTTCCCCACTCATCTCTCTAGTTACTACTGGTACTGTGAGTATTGCTGTCAGTTCTGTGCATTTGGAAACAGGCTCAGATGCCTCTACTGAATCCATGTCCATTGGTTGGAGGGGATTGGTAGCCCTCTGCACTCCCTTCCAGCCCCTCACCTGTGATCCCTGTTGCTGTCAGGGCCTGGTGGCCTCTTGGGAGAGGTCTGAATCTTGCAGCTGCTTCAGCACTTTATAGTGTCGGATGCAGACCACTGTGCATGGCTGGTCACCCTTCCTGGGCACATCATGTGTGAATCAGTACAGACATCAAGAGTTTGGGGATTTGGGGGTTAGAAAGCCCTGGGGAGTCTGGTGGCCCTGCAGATCATGCCCAGCTGCCCGGCAATGAATGATACAGTGACACAGGAACACAGTAACACCTTCAGGCTTGGCTGGCAGACAGACACCACATCATCTCAGGGGATGGTGCTGCACATAGTTAAAGGTCTGCACAGTGGCCCGGAGAGCTGTTTTCAGACTCTGTCCTGGGCTTTGCCTACTCCATCTTTCAAGGTGTTCAGCTTTTGCTTGTCTGGTTCTGGGCATTTCTTCCAAGGTCCCTGTAGTGGGTGAATATTCCCAGTTTTACGTCCACTTGAACCCTACAACTCCAATCTTACTTGGACAGGAATCTTTTTTTTGTCTGGAATTCATAATCCTGCCTCGGCCTCCTGGGTGTTGGGATTTTAGGCATGTGCCCTCATACCTGGCTTGGACCGATATCTTTGCAGATGTATTTGACTTAAAGACCTTGAGATGAGCTTACTGGGGATTGATTATCCAGGTAAGATTCCCCAATTTGACAAGACTTTTGATAAAAGCAGGGGAAGCCAGGTGTGGTGGCACATGGGTTGTAATCCCAGCACTTGGGAGTCAGAGACAGGAGGGTCCTGAGTTTGAGAGTTTTGAGAGCATTTCAAAAAACAAAGCAAAGCCAGTCCTGGTGGCATACACCTTTAATGCCAGCACTCGGGAGGCAGAGGCAGGTAGATCTCTGTGAGTTCGAGGCCAGCCTGGTCTACATAGCAAGTTCCGGGACAGCTGGGGCTACAGGGAGATCTTGTCTCAAAAATAACCCCCCCCCAAAAGAAAAACAAGCAAGCAAACAAGAACAGGGAGAAGTTACAGGGGAGTTGGCCATGTGACCAGGGAGGCAGAGGGTGTGACACAGCCACGAACTGAGCTACAACATCAGGACTGTGGCACCTCTGGGAGCTGGAAAGGGGTGCGGACCCTGCCTCTGAGCCATGGAGAAGCTACCTGCCCATGGTCATTTATAGCCAGTGAGTCTGTGGTCCTTTGGTGTGGCAGCTCCTGGACCCTCAGATGTCACCTACTTGGTCTCTGCATCCATTCTGGTCTGTACCAGGCAGACTGCTGAACCAGAGCCAGGCCATCAGTTCCAAAGATGAGTGAGATGCCACCGTCTATGTTACACCCCACAAAAGGTCCTTGCTGTGCCTGGAAGACAGATTCAAGCTCTCTCCTGCCTGTGGGATCTGGCACAGCCCCAATTTCATCTCATTTGTTCCCATCTGCTCTTCTCATTTGGCAACACCTCTAACTTCCCCTTCTGGCCCCCAAGGCACAGTCCTGCCACAGGACCTTTGCACCTACTCTGTGGGTATATATTCATATTCTTTCCCCGCCCAGCTGGCCTGGCACTCTATGTAGACCAGGCTGGTGCCACCACACCCAGCTGGTTGTCTTGTTCTTGTCTCATGATTCTCTGAAAGCCTGTGCTTCAGATCTCTCTGCAGACACCCCTCAACTTCCCTAAAAAGCATTCCTTGCCCCTGGCACCCACTCTCTGAGCACCATCTCATTTGCACTCCTAGCAGGTCTCCCCTTCTGCCATCTGTTTGGGCTTGTATTCACCACCTGGCTCCTGGGGCCATTGGCTCCAGAGGGCAGAGATCACTTCTGTCCTTGCTCAGTTGTTTGCTGTGCCAGGTCCAGTGCTGGATACAGTGGGGACAGGTTCAGTTGGCAGCGTCTACCTTCAAGGGTACCTCATGCAAACCAGTGGTCCCTTTACCCTCCCAGGGACGTGGGTGGGAGCCTGGTGAGTGCATAGCATAATTCAGACTTTTGCCTCTCTGCTCTGGGTATCTGAGTGTGGGTGAGAGCAGGTGGGCAGTGCTCACCTTCTAGTCACACATAGCCAGGTCAGCAAGGACAGGTCTTTGTTCATTCCTGGGCCACCTCTGTCCCTGCTGTCTTCATAAGGCCCTAACCTTGGTGTGAGAAGGGCCACTGGGGCCACCAGCCTGTGGTTGGCAGGGACAGGCACTGGATCTGGAGGCTGGTGGTGCCATTACTATCACTCAGCTGACTGGGTCCCTCTCCTCTACCTTAACAGGAATCATGAGTAGCAAGAAGATGCTCTTCCAGGGCTGGCAGCTGAGCCCTGAAGTGTCCAAGGCCTAAGGGATAGACTGGCAGACCCAAAGGCTTCTGTTTCTTGAAAACCAGAGGCTTATTGCTCTGGGCTTTAGATTCCAGAGGTTTTTGGTCCTCAGCTTAGAGGCTTATTGCTCTGGGCTTTAACCACTAGCAATCCTGGCACTTGGCTGCCATTATAAGTGGCTTCCAGCAGCAATGAGCAGCAGCAGCAGCAGCAGCAGCAGCAGCAGCAGCAGCAGACAGCAGTGGGCAGCATCTCGTGTGACAGCTCTTGAGCAAGTCTCAGGTGTTGGTGCCTCAGCTCCCCAGCAACTAACCTTGGGTGTCAGGATCCTTGGCCCTGAAGGCTTTGCAGCAGCCTGGAGCTCTCCCAGTGGCAGGCCTCATTTTCTCATCTCTGGCTCTTTACAGCCTGGCCTTTCTTCAGCCTCATCTCTCCAGCCCTCCCCTTCACTCTGCTTCTGCTGTCCCTTTGCTGTCTCTGCTCCCCAGTGTTTTCTACTGGCCACTCTAGAGCCCTTCTGCTGCCCCTCTGTCACTCTCATTTCTCCTGCTGTTGCTACCACTGCTGCTACTTTGCCCTGTCTGTTGTCTGTCTATCATATCCATCTATCATCTATCAGTCTATCTATCTATCTATCTATCTATCTATCTATCTATCTATCTATCTATCTATCATCTATCATCTATCTATCATCTATCATCATCATCCATCTATCTATCTATCTATCTATCTATCTATCTATCTATCTATCATCTATCTATCTATCTATCTATCTATCTATCTATCTATCTATCTGCCATATCTATCATCTATCTCTTTTTATTATTTTGTATGTACGTATATGGTGTGTGGGGGTATGCATGTGTGGTCAGAGAACAACTTGCAATTGATTTTCTCCCTTATTTTTGAGACAGGGTCTCCCTGTGGCTGGCCTGGACCTCACTATGTAGATGAGGCTGGCCTTGAACTCACAGAGATCCACCTGCCTCTGCCTCCTGAGTGCGGGACTACAGGTGTGCATTACCACACCTGGCTGATTTTCTCCTTTTTCCTTGAGGGTTCTGGGAAAGTCAGTCATCAGGCTTTTATGGCAAGTGCCTTTACCAGCTGAGCCATCTCACTGGCCCAACTTTTGCCTTATCTTTGTATTCCAGCTCAGTCCTCTCTACTAGTCAAAGATCAAAAGTAAGTAAATTAAAAAAAATTACATTTACTTATATATCTTGTGTGTATGTGTGTGCCACTGCACCTGTGTGGAGGCTAGAGGACAACTTGAAGCAGTTGGTTCTCTTCTTCCACCATATGGGTCCTGGAAATTGAACTCAGATTCTCAGTCTTGGTAGCAGGCAACTTTATCCACTGAACCATCTTGCTGACCCCGAGAGAACCTTTTTATTGGTCCTAATGTTGCAACACTAAGGAAAGCAAAGAAGAGTGAATCCAAGCTTATTCAAAAAGTGAGCCAAAACCAGGCATAGTGGTGGCACACACCTGTAATCCCACACCTATAATGCTGAGGGATTACTGCAAGTTTGAGACCAGCATAGTATAGTGAGTTCCAGGCAAGCCTGGGCTACATAGTAAGACCCCATTAAAAACTAAAAC